CTGAGCCGAGCACTGGAGCTGGCAGGACAGAAGGTAGATCACCTGGTCGTGATGGAGAAAGACCCGGAATGCCGAAGGCTAAACAGAACAAGGTGGCCTGGGTGTGACGTGATAGCTGACATCACGAGAGTGACAAAGGGAGAGATCGAAAAGTACATGAGGAGTGTACCAGGGCTCACCGGAGTGATCGCGGGAGGAGGCTCCCCGTGCCAAGGTCTTTCAAAGTTGAACGTGGACCGGACCCCAGGTCCCAGTTGCGCTACAAGTAAGGACCTGGCGAGAGAGATGAGGGTATGGTCGGTTCTGATGATAGAAAATGTAGTTGGAGATGAGGAAGACATCAGACAGATGAGCCAACAGCTGGGCTGCCGTCCGGTGCATGTTTGCTCGGGGTGCTTATCGTGGGTTCGTCGACCAAGACTATCCTGGAGCAATGTGGCTTTGGATGACCGTGCCAGCTATCAGCTCAACCATCATGAGCGCTATGATGCGCTAGAGTTCAATGAGGAGCTGGAACCTTTGAGGTCAGAGTGTGATGAAGGGTGGATTTGGGCCTGCAGCTGAAGTCAACAAGAATCTTCGGTTGCCGGCTTTCACAAGAGCCATTCCACGGAGAAATCCGCCCAAAGAGCCAGTTGGGCTGCAGTCCTGCGATAGGAGCAGGATAGACAGATGGAAGGAAGACCAGATGAAGTTTCCTCCATACACTTACCGACCAGAGTTCCTTATCCGTCATGCCAAGGGAGAAGAGGTGAAGCGTGTGGCATCAGCAACGGAAAGAGAAAGGTTGCTGGGGTACCTCACGGGGTACACCTTGGGTCTGTATCGCAAGCAAGCAGAGACGGAGGATGAGAGGAGGAAGCAGACGGTCGCACGAGAAGCGGCTATCGGGAATAGCTTCCACACCGTGGTTGTGGCTTGCTTGATGGATCTGTCTGTGGTTGTGGAAGAAGCAAGCCCGAACTGACCCAAAAGGGGCCAGAGCCATAGTTGAGAGATGGCATGAGGAGATGGCTCGGAGGAGTTTTGACGACATTGGAGAAAAGGATGATGCCACGACTCATGTCAGCGTGAGTGAGAGAGACAAGGAGGAGGAAGAAGCTTTGGTCCAGCTGGTCCGGAACCCAAGGCGCGAACAGTGGCTGCGATTGGGAGGACACAGTGTTGGGCAAGGATCGACTGAATGTGAGATTGATTCGCCAATACCTTCGAAGGATGGAATTTCGTGGGAGTGATGTACGTCTTGACTTGCAGGTAGTATACAGGCCGGATGCTGTGGCCCGTACGACAGTAGATTCATGCAGATGAGTTTGGAAGACCGCCCAATCCTACAAGTGGCGCCGAGACGAGCGCATCAATCTCCTGGAGTTGAGGGCGTTTTTGAGGAGCCTAGAGTGGCGGGCCCGGTCAGCTTCATTTCATTCTTGTAGGTCTGTCCGATTCCCAGATCTGCTTAGCTGTACTGACAAAAGGTCGAAGCAGCTCAAGAACAATCAATCGCATTTAGCGCAAGATCTAAGCCTTGTGTGTCGCTTTGAACCTTTTTCCTTTGTGGGCTTGGATTGCATCCCGATTGAACCCAGCGGATGGTCCAAGCAGGCGTTTTGAGAAGGATGCCAAGAAAGGAGATTAAGAGAAGGGCCACAAAGGAAGACCGCAAGGCTGAGAGGCAAAGAGTGGGAAAGTTGTCGGAGCAAAGAGTTTCACAAGCGACCGCAGAACGATATGCAGTTGCTTTGCATGGCCGGAGTACCTTTGTGGGAAGCACAGTGGTAGAGCTGCTGAATCGAGCAGATCTTGAATCAGTGCTTTGCCAAGACATAGAGTTCCTGTGGGAGGAAGGAGATCCCAAGACGATGGCAAATTATGTGATGGCCGCAGTTCAGTATCGAAGGCCAGAGCTCAGAGGAAATTTGAAAGGAGCATGGCAGCTGGTTTCTTTGGAACAAGCTGGAACAACCCTTGCGGGCTACGCCACTTAGTCCCGAATTGGTGTTGGCATTTGCCGGAACACGTTGGGAATGGCATTGGCCTCCCTCGCCTAGCTCAGCTGACCATGGTGGCCTTTTTGCGGCCTCCTCCGCACAGGAGAGATGTTTCATCTTCACAGCAAGGATGTGATTTTACCCCGCAAAGACGGACAGTCAGCGATCCTTTTTCTGCATGACACAAAGACATCACAACGAAACTTTTTGACGAGTGAGAAAGTCCTCATCACCGAGAAAAGCGGAATTGCTTGCCTGCGAGCTCTTTGTCAGAGACGCAGGCCTGATAAAAACTTGGTGGATTTTTCCCCTGCAGCCTTCCGCTCACTTTAGAACGAGGTGGTACACCACCTCGGGCTGGAAAGCTTCAACTATCTTCCCTACAGTTTGAGACGGGGAGGAGCCACAGTAGCCTATGTTCAGGGCATGCAATTCGATCAGCTTTTGGCCAAAGGCCGCTGGGAACATATTGCTACTGCTCATATTTACCTGGATCAAGCCCTCCAAGAATACACTGCCCTTGTCCTACCACAGGCCGTGACTCGTAAGGTTCGCGCAGCAAGCCAGAGGTTTGCTGCCGAGCTGGGACGCGTGGAGGAGGGGGCAAGGAGGACTTGATCGGGTAGAGGGCATAGGGCTTGCCTTTTCATCAGCAGGCACTTGACCCCGGCACAAAAATGCGCGG